AAATCTCTGCCTGTGGCATTTTGTTACAGTAGCAATAGAAAATGAATTTGGGCAGAAAGCCAAAAGGATCAGGTATCCAAGTGGGGAGAAAGAGTAGTGAAGCAACAGCAGAGGTCAATCACAAGGCGGCTGCCAGGCCAAGGTGAGAACCAGCTGCCAGCTTTAGGGGAGAGAGGCTCACAAGAATCTGTAGAAAGGTAGTAAGGTGGGTTTTAGAGAGATGGAGTACCTGTTATTTGTCTAAGTAAAAAAAACCTACATGTGTGTAGGGTGGTGGGGAGCATATCAAACAGCAAGATTACAAAGAAGGACAGGTGCCATCTGGGCATCAATTTGGGGTATTTCCTGGCAATATTTCCAGAGGTGATATCTCTTATGGCTTCTGGGATCCCCAATAGTCCTTCCTATTGCTGATTTTCTTGCTCAATTCTTGTTCTCAAAGTCAATCTGGAGTGATACAGGGAGCACTGGGGATCTGTGTGTGGATTGGTGGCCAGGTCTGCAGATGTGCTGCTTGCTGGCCCTGGTTTCATCCTCCATGTAAGACTTACTGGTGTTACAGCAGGCCAGAATGGTTGGAAAAGGACAATGTTCTTTAATGGGCCAGGCAGGCCCTTGTGTGAAGTCCTTGGCAATGGAAGTCAGCTAACTGACTTCTCATCTCCACCCCACAATGCAAGTGGAGGTGGGTTCCCAGCTCCCTAAGGCTTCAGTTCAGACCTCTAAGTAGAGCTGTGCTGGAGATATCCCAAGGCTTTTCAGAAGGGAGGGGACCTTAAGGCTTCCTGCATTTAGATTCCCTTCCTATTTAATCACTCAAGCCCTGAGCATACAATACAAAGCCTAGCAGAACCAGAGGTGGCAGAAGCTGTGGGCTTCTTAGCCACTCAGATATGCATCCTATGTGGTTAGGATCTGGGTCTCCAAGTCCCCCAGACATTATGCTACTTCAGCGCTACAGTCTGGAAAGTTAAGCTTTACCTTGCTTGGGGTATTCTCAGGCAGATGGCTCATATCTCACTGGCCCCTGAACAAGGACTGTCCAAGTCTGTGCAACAACATGAGAAAGCAAAACAAACAAACAACAACAATAACAAAAACACAGTCTCTTTCTGACAGTTACTATCCTTTTGGTGGCAGATTTGAGGACCTGGGTTGGGCTGTGATGAAAACTAGAACTCTCACCAGAAACACATACATTTTCCCATATACAATTTCACCTCTTTCGCTAGTTCCAGATGACCCACAGAACCCCAGGTTTAAGAAGCCTTACTTCAGTGTTTCCTGTAGTGTGGTCTAAGCAGTACCCATGATGGTTTTAAGAGATACAAGAGACAATTTTTCTTCTTTAAGTTTGGGGCTGGGAATGTAGTTCAGCTGATGGACTGTTTGCCTAGCATGCCCAGGTTGGTCCCCAGCATCACATAAACTGAGCAAGCATGTAGCACATGCCTTTAATTTTAGCACTCGGGTGATAGAGGCAGGAAGATCCGAACTTCAAGGTCACCCTCTGCTACATAGTGAATTTGAGGCTAGTCTAGGCTACATCACACCTGTTTCCCCTCCCACAAAAAATGCATATTTATTTTAAAGTATATATAAGGCTGGATGTAGTAGAGTACACCTTTAATCCCAGAACTGGGAGTCAGAGGAAAGTAGATCTCTGTGAATTTGAGGCATGGTGTCAAAAAAAAAAGTCTGTGACTTCATTGGTCTTATTACTTAGGGTCAGTAAATGCTAAAATAAAAAATGAGTCTATATAGAGATGAATATCAAATATTGTAACTCAAATGGTATGTCAGTTTGTAAAGAGCTGTGATGGTGACTCATGAGTGACCAAAGTCTAGGGAACATAACATTTATGGGCTTGGAAGTAGGTTTAAACACAAAATTCCTTCCTTGATGATTTCTCTCTTTAAATTATTTACTTATTTATTTTATTGTTTGCATGTGCATGTTCAGAGTCCACAGGAGTAGGTCAGAGGACAGCTGGTAGGAGTCAGTTCTCTCCCTCCACTCTATGGATTCCAGGGATCCAACTCTTGGCAGCAAGCACCCTTACCCACTGAGCCATCTCACCAGCCCGGCTTCATTTTCTGAAGTGGTCATCACAACTCAAAAACTGGGCTTCACGGCCGCAGATGAGAGAGCATCTGCTGTCAATACTTATGCTAGGTAGCTTGATCCAACTGGCCTCTGGCAGCCAGGGATAGTGAGAGGGCCAGCTTCCCCCACCAGCCAAGGCTCTTTCACTTGTTCAAGGTGAGCAGCTCATCTCCCCTACCCACAGTGTGTTAGCTCAAACAAGTCTGACTTGTTCTGTGTGTGTGTCTTTGTGTGTGTGTGCGCGCGCACACACGTTCGTGCGTGCATACATGGGGGGTGTGGCAAAGTGGGGAACAGGGGAAATAAGTGGGGTGAGCCTTCTCCATGAAGAAGATATAGAGTACTTAATGAAGGGCTCCTAGGAGAAGGGGACAACAAAGTTAGTTCATAGCAGTTCCTTTCTGCTCCTCACACAACAGGAAGGGGCTCTTACCTCCAGAGATATCAGCACCCCTGAGGCAGCAGGAGAGGAGGGAAGTGGAGAAGGTAACATGGTGGAAGTTGTTAGAAGGATTTATCTAGTCATCTGAATCGACACCCCACCCCTGATTACCTTTCTCCCTCAGTTTAAAGAGAACTTTGCTTGATATAGTAAAGCATGCCAGTAGCTCCATCACTTGTGAGACCCAGGCACAGGGACCAAGTCTAACTAAGGACAGCCTGACCTAAAATAGCAAGATATCTCACAAAACAAAATGAAACAAACAAACAAAACCCACAAAAAGACATAAGCTAAAATAAGGGGAACCTAGTACTAGTCCTTACATTTGAGCTCTGCCAACAGAGTAACAGGAAACTGGAATGTAAGGTGAATGTGGCTGCTGATTAAATCTGGGTTGGAAGGTTGACTGTCAGATTTTAGTTTTCTATACATCCTCAGGTTGGGGCCCAGAAACCTGGGTATTTGCAACAAGACCATACTCTGGGGCTCTTGGGGTAACAGGTGGTTGGCCATCCAGGGCATCTGGAAGGAGTGACATTCAGAATTGCACTGAGTAGAGGCCACACCCTGCAGCTCCTGTCTGAAGAACAGTTACAATACAGGGCCCACCCATGAGCTATCACAGACCTGCCAGTCTCTAGTGTTCTGATCCCAACCCCTTGCCAATTTCTGTACTCAATTTTCTTGTATTTTTGGCTAAGCTTTCTGTTCCTTCAGCAAGACCTAATACTAAGCATCAGCTTCCTGATTGCCAACTCTGGACATTTTGTGAAATCTCTCAGATAAATCTCCTTTCCCTTCTAGTCATGGTGGTTGAGCTGGTCTTCTTACATCCTCTGTCGTTCCCTCCATTCCTTGTCACTGGAGTCAGGACACTCTTCCAAAGATGTAAGCCTTTCTATGCCACTCCCAGACTAAGTTCCCTGGCTTTCCATGGCTCTCCAAGTCAAGCTCTGGACCACAGCCTTTGAGGCACATGTGATCAAGCCCCAGTGACTTTCGGCTCCCATCTCTTTCCTTTGCCTGATAGCCCTTAGTCACCTTGATTCTACTGCTCTCTCTTGACTGTGTCACACTCTTCCCCCCCCCATACATATCGTCCCTCTGTATGGAATGTTCTTCCTACCACTTTGTCTAGCTAAGCTTTCAGTTAGCTCTTGGTAAAATGTCACTTTCTTAAGGTACTTCTTACTGAACCTGTTCTCCAACCCAGACTCAAAATGTAACTATTATAAATATTAATGAGATGTATTTAAATAATTATCATGAGCGTGGTATGGTCCCTCCTTTTACCATTAGCATGTTTGCTCCATGAAAATGGGAACCATGTTTGTTTTAATGTCTGTTGGGGGTGTCTAGCACAGTGTTATCAACCCACTGACGAACCAAGTGACTGAATAAAAGATAGAGATTAGATAAGATGGCAAGAGAAATGTCCTGAACAGTGAATGACCTGTCCTTTCACACAAAGATCTAACCACACTTGAAAGCAAGAGTAAGCAGCAAGGGACAATCACTTGTCACCAGTCCTATGCCAGATTAAGGAACAAGGCATTTGCTTGGCTCCAACCTGAGTCTACCAAGACTTTTTTCTGTAGATAGGGACTATGTTCCCAGCCCTTGGGTGCTTGGGATGGAAACAACTTTGATTCTGGAGTAAGAAACACTTGATTTTTGTACTTCCTAGTTGTTTGACATTTATAGAACCTCACAGAACCTCTTGTTTTCACATCCTAAAATGAGGTGGGTTGAAGGTAAGAATCCAAGCCACCACACAACAGTACACAGGTTAGCACAGCCTGGGTTAGAAGTATCAAACTCTTTTCCTTAGCAAGCTGGCTTGTGCACTTTATTTCACTTTTTCACGCCCACAACACTGTTTAGGATAGAAATAAAACCAGGGGCTTGAGGATATAATCTACAGAATGCTGTCCAGGTCCTCCACCCACCCACCAGAGAGAGCCCTGGGGGGTTAGCTGAGTAGAACTTTAGATTCATCCGTGCCTCCTTGAAGCAAGAGAGTGGTGGGCTGGGGAATGAGGACACGTGAGCCTAGGAACCTATTATTGAAACTAGAAAGGAGACAAGAAAGCCCGATGAAGAAGAAGAGAAGAAAGAAAGGGGGTGTGGGGGGGCTGGGGCAGAAACAACAATCCAAGTTGTCTGGGAATCCCAGTTGTCAAGGGACAGGGGCTGCAGAAGGGACATGTTGGAAGGAGGTTGCAGCCAGGTCAGGGGCTAACGCTGGAAAGAGGAAAGGCTGGCTCCTGGCGATAGGAAAGGGGGCAATGACCTGTTGCTTGGAGAGAAACTAGGGAAGCAGAGGGAGGGGAGGGCAGCAGCTGTCACCTTGCGTTCTCCAAGAGGGCAGGTGATCTGGGCTCTCCGGAGCGGAGGGCTGGGGGAGGGGTCGGAAGCAGGGAGCGGGGTGTGCCCCGGGCCGGCTGGTACCTGAGGGTCCACTCGCAGTTCGCCCACGTAGTACTGCTCCAGCCAGCGGCGGGCGTTGTCCGAGTGTCTGTGAGGTGGTCCATCCAGGTCGGCACTGATGTCCTGGCCAGCCCGCGCCCGCAGCAGCTGCTCGCCCCCCGGATGGTGCCGCACGAAGCCGGTGAGGTCGTAGAGGCTGGCCCCGCGGCGGACCCAGCAGGCGCCGGCCGCCAGGCGCCGCTGGACCTCGGCGGGCGAGAAGGAGGCGGCGGGGGGCGGAGCGGGGGCCATGGCGGGAGAGCGGAGCTCGGATCTCGGAGCCCAGCAGTCTGCTCCGCGGCCGCCCAGCGCGACTCTAACATCTCGGGAGCCGGGGCCGCCGCAACGGGCCGGCCGCCACCGCACCTGCTCATTTGCATGCCGTGCTCTCATTGGCCACTCGGTGGGACGCGGCTGGTGCCCGGCGCCGCCTCCCCATTGGCCCGCAGGGACCCGAGCCCGGAGCGCTGGGCGAGAAGCGCAGGCGCCAGGTGGCCCCGGGCAGGTAAAGGGCGTGCCCACCAGGTGTGTCAGGCTGTGGGTGGATGCCAGCGGATTGAAGGGGAATATGCTCTGCAGATTTCAAGAGGCGTCAAAGACAAAATGCAACAGGGCAGAGGTCTAATCTAGGGCCGGGGAATAAAAAATTTAAAGTTACCCCAAACTCAGCCACAGTATATAATAGCGTAGTATTTAAAAGAATTTATATCGTTGTACCATGTGAATGCACGTCTAAATGCTTGAATAATTTTTGTTAAGGTGTTGTAAGTTTATATTATATACATTTTTACTACAATTTAAAATAAAAATTAAAAAAACCTTTACTGGCTGATCTGGGTGAGTCAACAGATGGCTTTTTAAAAGGATTTATTTTATGTGTGAGTGTGTGCATTTACATCCTCCGTGTGCATGTAATGCCTATAGAGGCCAGAAGAGGGTGTCTATCCTCTGGAACTGGAGTTACTCTTGGGAGCAGCCATGTGTGTGCTGGTAAGGGAACGCTGGTCCAGTGCTCTTAACCATTGAGACAGCTCAACCATTGTAAATCCGTTTTTATTGAACTAAAAGTCATAATTAGTAGAACAGGATTGGGAAGGTGCACAGCTATTTTGTATTTTTTATTTAAATGTTTTCTACTTTGTTCATTATGGACATTTCATATTAGTTCTGAATTGTCAAAAACTATTAAAGTGCTTACCTTAGGAATTACTATTTACTTTATTAACTTGTGAATTTATTATATATCTATCCAGCTATCAGCATATCTCTATCACATTGAAATCTTGTAATAAAGATGTAGCTGATTCAGTGCCCTTCCCAGCCTCCTTATTTTCCTCTTGTTTGGGAAGGGCTGGGGCTTTGGAGATCTCTTGAGGTAGAAGTGGATTGCTGGCTTGCCTGGTAATTGATGGGTTTGTGCCTACTTCATCTCTTTTGTGAGTTTATTCTGACTGATAACTTTATTCTTAATTTCTGGGTAAGACACCATCTGGTGATTGGAACATAAAGCTTGTAATATTTTCAAGAAGGTAAAACAATTTATTCTGGGGCTAGAAGATAGTGGCTAAGACCTTCCACTGCTCTTCCAAAGGACCAGAGTTCAGTTCCCAGCACCACTGTCAGACAGCTCAAAACCACCTATAACTAACTCCAGTACCAAGGGATCCTGTACCCTCTCTGGCCTCCATGGGAACACACACATTTTGGCTGATGTTTGTTTGTTTTGTTTTTGAGACAGGGTCTCACTGTATTAGAGCTTGTTTTTTAGACCATGTTGGCCTTAAATTCATGTAGATCTGCCTGCCTCTGCCTCCTGTGTACTAAGATCAAAGGTGTGCACCACCCTGCAACACATAATTTTTTAAATTTCTTTTTGAGACGGTTTCTCTGTATAGCTTTGTAGACCAGGCTGGCCTGGAACTCACAGAGATCCACCCGCCTCTGCATGGGGGGGGGGTGGGATTAAAGGCGTGTATCATCACTGCCCAGCAGCAACACATAATTTTTAAAACTCTTTAAAACATTTATCTTGAAATTTGAAGTTACCTTGAATTTTTTGGTAGGCTCTTAAATTTTGGCCCCTCACTCATCTTACTACTGACCCCTGGGAGAGAATCCTGGAGGGATTCTCTTTTATATAAAGAAAAATGGGGGCCTTGGAGGCAAAGCCTATGGATTGGGTGTGATATCAGAACAGTGTTAATAACAATGAGAGTCACACACACCTTTACTTTCTCAGCTATGGATCTCGATTTGTAATCAGACTCCCGATTCTTAGGTTGCCCCATCTAGCTGACTTTTGTCGCCCTTCCAGAAAACATTTTTCTAGGTTGCCTCTGCTTATTACCACAACAATAGAAGCATATGTGGCCAAGCTAGCTGGTCTCACCCTCCAGGGGTAGGTAAAAGTTCCATGGTGACTATAGGTCTGCTAAAAACACAGCTAGCCATCAGACCTGGGCAATGAAACCTAAATGGTCACCCTCACCGCATTCTCACACCTACTGTGTTTCAAATACTTGGCATGGAAAAAGCAGCCAAGAATAGGCTCCTCAGGTGTGTCTGCTGATCCCATCTGTGGGAAAACCCGTTATGTTACTGTTTCTCACTACTGCCTTAAACACTCATTGTCTGAAGCTGAACAAACAAGTTAGCCACCCATTCAGAATTGTAACACTCACATTTTTTTTTTTTTTTTTTGCCATAGTAATTTCATGTCTCAAATGTGATCTTGGAGATATACTGTGTCAAGATGCAGAAATAATAGCAGTAATTACAACATTATTTATAGAGTAGAACTAGCCCACATATATATTGTGAGGGAAGAATGGTAGCAAAATATGTAGCCATTAGATAGAATTAGGCAGACTCAAGTCTAATGGATGAAATAATCTCCAGGAACAAGAACAGTGGGTATGGCATGCTAACAGCTAGTTTATTGTATTTATTTATTTTGAGACAGGGTCTCATTATATAATTCTGGCTGGCCAGGAACTCATTATGTAAACCAGGCTAGCCTCAAACTCACAGGTATCCAGCTGTCTCTGCTTCACAAGTGCTGGGATCAAAGTTGTGTGCCACCACTCCTGGCCTTGTTATTTTAAACTATGTAGTATCTAAAAATATCTTGTATGCAAACAAAAATATATGTAAATTTAAAAACAAACAGCATATTAACTAAGGCAGAAACTTGAACCTACTTTTGTACTCCAAACCATCTACATTCTGCCTCCTGATTACCAATTGTTAGCCCCCACCCCTGAGTTCTGTTGTGTTTCTGTTTTTTTCCTGTATTGGAGGTTGAACTAAAGTACATGCTAAGTAAGCATTCTACCAATAAGCTATACTCCCATTGTACCTTCACCTTTTATTTTTTATTTTATAAATTTGTTTTACGTGTGTGTGTGTTTGAGCCCACGGGAGCTCGAAGGCATTCATGTGAGTATATGCGTATGCATGAGGGGTGCCCACAATGGCCAGAAAAGAACATTGGATCCATGGTAATGAGTTACAGGGGTGTGAGCCACCTAATGAGATGCTGAGAATCAAATTCAGGTCCTCTAGAAGAGCAGCAAGCACTCTTAACTTCTCAGCCATCTATCTCTCCAGGCCTGTATTTTTTATTTTTAATTAAAATAATCTTTGCCACTAATCTCATCATAGAAACACTATGATTACAGAGTCAGACCTGTTACGTTGCCCAGCTTTGCACACATTCTAGAGATTCAAACTTGTAAGACAAGCATTCTACCTTCTGTGTCATCTCCCTAGCCTCTTTATCTTTTAACGATCGGTGTGTGCCTACAAAATATATTGCTTGAATTAAATTGGTTTTGTGTTCTGTGAAAAGCACATGACGTTTATGTGTTGTTGTGTAGCGTTGTATATTTCAGTTGATAGTGTATTGAGGTTCATTCATGTTGCTGAGTTCACCACAGTGTCATTATTTCACTGTATGAACATCCATTTTCCTTGGCCTCTGCATAGGAAGCACATTCCCCCCCCCCCACCCCTCTCTCTCATTTCAGGGTCTCACTGTGTAGTCCTGACTGATCTGGAACTTGCATTGCAGACTAGGTTAACCTGGAACTCACAGAAATCTGATGGCCTCTGCTTCCTGAGTGCTGAGATTAAAGGTGTGTGCCACCATACCTAGCTCTTTCTTTTTGTTTTATTATAAGCATTCTTGTACATATGTGTAAAAATTTCTATAGGTTATTTATTTAGAGTTATAAGTTACTGTGTCCTAGGATATACAATGGTTAAATTTACAAGATAATGAATTAGCTTCTAAGTAACTATACTGTATGAAAATCCCTACCTCCTTGATAGCAGAACCTTGATAGCTCAATATCTACATAAACTATGTGGTATTTTTACATATATTAAATTTATATATTCTCCTTCACATACTTATACATTCAGTGTTCAATTTATTCTTTGTGTTATAATACAATTCTACTTTATTTTTCCACAAACTTCTGGCCCCAAGGGAGCTCTTGTATGTCATTGATATATTCCTGCAGACATAGAATCAGTCATTCCTCCTTAGCGCTCTGGTTTCTTTTACTGAATAATGATATTGGAAAATAAGATGTGTTGGATCCACATGAATGTAGCACTCAGGCTACAGAGGCAGGAGGTACACACATTTAAAACCAAACCTATTTCACATAGTTAATAAATGTAAATTATGAATAATTTCCTCCAATAAATTTGCTAATTAGATGAAATGAACTAATTTTTTCAAATATACAAATTGACAAAACCCATTAAGGAGAAATAGACAAACTGAAGAGCCCATGCTTATAGCTCATACTTTTAAACTTGCAAAGGGAATTCTAGACCTGCAGGGCTTCACTGGTAAGTCCTATGAAGCTTTGGCTTTACTGATGGTGTTATCAAATACTTAAAAATAGCAAGTTGGGCTGCAGAGATGGTTTAGCAGTTAAGAGCACCAATTGCTGCTCTTGCAGAGGACTCAGTTTCAATTCCCAGCACCCGCATGGTGGCTCATGGTCATCTGCAACTCCAGTTCCAAGAGATCTGATGTCCTCCTCTGATCACTGAGGGCACCAAGTATGAATGTGATGCAGGCAAAACACTCACACACATAAATAAAAATGAATACATCTTTAAAAAAAGAAAATAATGGCTCTACACAATTCCTCCAGAAATTGAGTGAGTGTATCTGAGCACATCATCCCCAGCCTACAGCACTGTTTGGGGAGGGTTAGGAGGCATGAGCTTCCTGGAGAAAGCATGTCACTGGGTCTCTCCTCATTTCCACTTCATTTTCTCTACTCCATGCTTGTGTCTGGAGATGTGGTCCCTCATTTCCTGCTCCTGCAGCCATGCTGCTGCTTGCTGCCATGCTTCCCTCTGGAACTGCAGGACAAAATAAACTC